CGAATGGTTGGAGATACTGAAGGTCATGGCTGCGAACCGACAGCAGTGGTGATCTTGCTGTCAATTCTTATCAGACCAGAATGCTTGAACTAGTATGTATGCACAGTTGGACTGTGTACTCTGTGTGTTTACCATAGAGGTTCGCTTTCTTTCCACGTCCCTAAAATTGAGTGCAATCCCTGTCCTCCTTACACATTCTCACTTACGTTGTGTGCATTATGAGTTTGGCAGCGACCAGTGAAGTTCGCTTCACTGTATTACGCTGTACAATGATGATGATGATATCGATCCTCAAAGAGTTATTTCGTCATACCTCTGGTCGGGTTAAGGCCTGTGACCAGCTTTCGCCACCCTTCGCCGTCTCCAGTGGAGTCCAACAAGGTTGCCCTATATCCCCTTTTCTTTTCAACTTTGTCATAGAGGGTGTTCTACAGAATGCTTTGTCCGTTTTAGCAAACGGTGAAGTCGAACTCCTCTCAGAGAGCAGAGTCCTTGACTTGAAATATGCCGGCTGTTTACTTTGCACGAACCTCTAAGTCTCACTGCGCACAACCTACCGTCGACTGGGAACCAGTCTAGGAGCGCGGCTTCACCTCTCACTAAGAGCCTCACCAACGCCAACAAGACCGGAAGCCACAGCCTCAGGATCCCCAGAGAGGCGTAAGTGAAACTTCAATGATGGGTTTGACGGGGATGTCAGTCGGGTAATGGAGCTGAAGTCTTGAATGCGAGTCTCTTGGATACAACGCACATCGATGGCTAGGATCTCGAGCGTACGAGCTAAACTGGCCTGTTGCCCTAGACGCATCTGAGTGCGCACATTAAATGTGGCTCGTTTGAATGGGTATCGAGGGCGAAGAAGGGCTTTAGCTGGTGGACTATTCGGTGAGACGGTAGTCGAGGTAGGACATGAGGGAACAGTGGAAGAGTTTCCATCTAAGGCACTAGTGTTTACACGAAGATTTCGAGAAACGGGGTGGGTTAAGGGGGCGAATGTGGGATGGGAGAGGACTGGGGGGACATGAGTGTGTGCACGGTGTAGTTTGTCTCTAGTTGCAGGAACTGTAGACTGGATGCACATAAAGTCGACGAGTTCATCGTTGATGGCTTTGTGGGCTGTTGTACTACTCGATCGCCCGGTCCAGAGTAGGCCTTGTTCGAAGGTGCAATCTAGCCTTTTCGTAACCAAGCGCGGACTGCAAGACAGCAGCAATATTCCAAATGAGCCGGTGGCCAGTATTTGGTTCATTCGTCTTTTCTGGAATCTTGCCGAACAATAGATTTCAACAAGGGGCGATGGCCATATTTAGTGGAGGGCCACGCTCGCCACATCACAGCGCTGTCCACAGATGTGTGGTGTTTTTGTGTGGAGTACTCTTACCAAGAAATAAACCCACCGCATGCTCGAGCGCTGCCGCTTATCGTCCCCTCGGTAGCATAGCTCTGCTCTCGCCTTGCTGGGTGGCAATACTCAGGCAGTCCAAGACGCTTTGAACCGCTTGACGATCGAGGTATCCAGGTGTCGTATGTGCCTTGCACCATTAAAGTGCAAAGTGCTGATTCAAGACTGGCAGGAGCCTGTACCTGCACTCACCCTCTGTGGTGATCAACTAGAAGTAGTTGAGAGCCTTAATTACCTCGGGAGCTTGATCGCAGCTGGTGTTGGTGTTGGGGACGAGGTCACATCACGAATAGCGAAAGCTAGAGCAGCTTTCACCAACCTACGACACCTGTGGCGCCGCCGTGACATCCGACTGTCCCTTAAGTGTATATCGCCGCAGTTCGTAGTGTTCTGCTTTACGGTTGCGAGACCTGGCCTCTCCGAGCGGAGAATGCTAATCGACTTGCTGTATTCGACCACCGACGTCTCCGAAGTATTGCTCGTGTCTGGCGGAAACACCAGGTGAGCAATGACGAGGTCGGTCGTCGTGTGTTGGGTGTGGATAGTCGTTCTCTAACAGAAGTAATCGCTCTACACCGCCTCCGATATGGCCCGGAATAGAAGTCAGTGGCGCGAATGCTGTACGGTCTGCCTGTCGAAATCCCGTGACCCGTTAAAACAACAAACAACAAAAAAATTCAAAAAGTGTACGGTGAAACGCACAAAATTGTTATTCCATTTATTAGTAATCTTCCATTCTGACAGTTACATCTCCATCCCCGTACCCTGTATCCCACCCCACCCCCGCGTTATTGTTATTGTTAATATTTTTGTGGCGTTGACACCATTTGTGTTCTGAAGCCAGTGTTGAATATATATATATATATATATATATAATATACCTGTAGTCTATATCAT